ACTTGACTCCAGCTTAAGTGTGTGTGTGTGTATGAGATGAATGCAATCCAAAGAGCATCTGTTTACGGCGGATCTAGGCAGGAGTGGAACGGGACACACTCAAATGCGTTTGCTTGCGTAACAAACCCATAGTTCCAAGCCTGGCAAGCTGCAATGCATAGAAGGTACTGAAACTGAAGTGTGAGCGTGTGCTCCATCAAAGGACGCAAAAGGCAAGGTAGACTCGTAAAAACGCCGCCAGCGGCTGGTGCTCAATGCAAAGCACGGTTCAGGATTGCCTCCCTTCCCTGGCCCTCCCATTGAAAAATTTCGTAGCGGTGCTTTGACGAGTTTTACTACAATATGCGCAGGCAAAAGCGTGCTTCACCAAGCCTACCAACCTATTTCTGCCAATTTACAACATATGTGTCCCTATTGAGACCCCATTTGCTGTATTCTGATTCCTGTCGGCACGGTCTTGGCCCAGGTACCTCTCTCAGAGCGGTAGCTCTGGAGCATTGCGCTCGAACAGCAAGCCAACGATCAGCCACTTGACCTGAGCGGTTCTTCCTCTTAGCCTTGCTATCCTGTTCTGCTGCGCTCTCAACTTGGAGTGAAAGCGCGCATGCAGTGCTGACATGACATTGCAGACGACAGAAATAATCCACAGGGCTTACATCCAGACAGGTAACGAGAATGAAGGCTTCGAGCTGCAGACGACGTTTGCTGCCCCCTTGCGGCCGGTCTTGCCTCGTTTCCCGCTGCTGCCAGTGGCGATGCCACTTGGGATAAAGTGGGCAGCTACCTGGATCGATGTCAACACTTGTTTGTAGCAGTAGAACTGCTGGATCAAACGGAACTCTGAAAGGAATGTCAGCGCGACATCTGATCTCGATAGGCCGGCAGGAGAGCACACCATTTTGAGGGGAAATGCTCTGATCAGTTTGCGTTTGTTTCTCGGTTTTTCCAGCTGCGCCCCAAAAACTACGCCCAGTTTTGCTGCGGCTCACTCATGTTCACTCCCTCTACTGCTAAGTTCAGCCTCGTCAGAGGTCTACTGCCCTAGCCGACGTGCAGAAGCTAGTAGATTGGATCTCAATCCTTGTTGGGCCAGACACTACGTGCAAGCAACTGCAACAAGCATGAATTTTGAAGTGTAGCGTTCGCAGGCATGGTCATTTAGACTCGATAACTCGGGAGGTCATCACGGAGTTTTAAGGAAGCATCCAAGAACTTCTGTTTGCAAGAGAACAAGAGCATGTAAGTCCAGCCACAGCAACAAAACAAGGTAGGTAGCATGCAGAGCAGATTATCCAAAGAAACTCGTTGCAGAAAGCATCAGCTGAACGTACTCTGGAGAGGCTGCGGCTGGATCCGCCAGCACGGAAGGCTGAACCGAAGGCTGCATCTTCCCTGATGCAGCAGGCACGGTCCAGGAATGCTTCTGCAACCGTAAGCTATTCGCAAGCCCGAGGAATCCTTGAGTCTCAGGACAAAGAGGGGCTTGTTTTTACTGTGTGGTTCTCCCCGCATTTTTGGGCTCTACACGGCTGTAGGCCACAGTTACCATGTTTTGGAGTCGACGCAATCGTCGCTGTGTACGAGTCAGCCGTCCATGTGAGCAAGTGTTTGTCGGCGCGAACATCTCCGCGTCTCACATGTTATTGCGCTTCAGAAGCTATGTCGAATCTTTGGCCCGACACTGATATCCCCCATTCTGGAAGCCCATCATTTGAAAAGGCAGGTGGCCTGGTTGGCAGCGGCCTGGGCACGCTCAAGTTTGGAGCGGCGCTCTTCACCGGGAAGCCAGGGGTACCTGGAAAGAGTTCTGAGGCCATCAACGTGTGAGCCGTCCCGAGCTTTCTTTGCAATCGGACTGAAGTAAACTGCGTCTGCTTGCAGCCAATCTGCTTAGCTTCGGGAAACGGACTAGTGCGGGGTTTCGACTCGTTACTTCAACAGCCGTCCCCAAATGCTGATGGCAAATGTCCATTCCAGCTTCCGAGCCAACTGGAGAAGCCACAAATCTTTCAAGCTTGGCCTGCAGGGACTGTTGACTTTGCTGCCTTTTTTTTTGTGTTTCCAGCTTAAGCGTGTGTGTGTGTGCGTGTGTGTGTGTGTGTGTGTGTGTGTGTGTTTGTTTGTTTGTTTGTTTGTTTGTTTGTTTGTTTGTTTTGCTTTTTCTGTGGATCCGCTATCATTTCAGAGTCTGTTTCTGCGCTCTGCGCTTGCATCTATTTTCTATGCTAGTATCATGCGGCCCCCTGGCTCAGATTTCAGAATCAGCATTGTTACAAATTTTAACATGCTGATGCATCCTGTGCGAATTGCCGTGTTGGTGGTCGGCTTCAGGAGCTTTTACACGCAGCCGCCGCCGCCGCGGCCGCCGCCGTGTGATGGACCGGGCTGCGAGGCCAGCCTGCTGCTCAACGCCAAAACCCGAATGCCGAAGCAGCCCACCAACCTCACCGGCAACAACCTCACCGGCGACTTGCCTGAACTGATGCGCCCAACGCATCCGACTTGGTCTTGGAGAACTTGATGAACGACACGCAGGAGGCGGAGAACTTCGGCTACGCGGCACAGAATGCCAGTGACATGGGATGAAGACGTGGAGAAGGTGCAGGAGGCTCAGACACAACCTTTGTCGGTCCCGCCTTCTGTAGGCCAGCCGGATTCGATTTCTCCGAGCGGAGCAGGCATCACATCGGAGCTTGACTGTCGGCTGGGCTACAACTACACCTGGACCGTGTCATGGGCCACGCGTCCTGCTGGTTGCAATGCCAACGGGGCAGATCTAGCTTACTTCAATGCACACGCTGATGGTCCATCACACCCTGAAGCCACCACCAGATACATGATGATGGACCGCAACACTGCGTGCTCGTCGCAGCTCAAAAACACGGAACTGGCACGATGTGAGCGGGCCACTGAACACTTTGGGTGCCCTAGGTACCCCTCCATCATCTCAGGGATTTCTGAAAATTTCTGCTTCTGGTTGCTTTTGCGGACGCACTACTGCGATGAAGCCGATCTGTGGCCTTTCTTGGCGGTCTTCAAGCTCATCAACACAGCCACAGCATTTTGTCCGAGAGGTCTGCAGCGGCTGAGAAGCCGAGTGGAATGACGAGATGCGGCTGCTGCGCTCGGAGCGACATGCGTAATGATGCCGCGCAGGTCGTTCACCCTCAGAACCAGTGTAGATGTTGGATATTTGCTGCCGCTGATTCTGAAGGCCGGCTTCTCTACATCATTGAAATCATTTATGAGTCGATCCTGGTGGACAGTTGCCGTAATAGGTTGAAGAGCCCCAAGCAGGAAACAGCCGACCCTGACCTGCTTAGCTCAAGGGCACTTGTGTGGCGAGCACCCGAAGCCCTTGCATGCCTGGACTCATGCGCAACAGGATTCTAGAAGAGGGTACCGCTACTATCCTGTGTACAGGGCTAAACATGAGGGACCCTCATGGAGAACCGCATGCTTTGCAAGAGGAGCGGAACTGTCTCAAGAAACTCTGACCCGTCAGGGACAGTCGCCGTATTAAGTTGAAGCGCCGCGCAGGCCCTGCACGCTCATGCCACAATTTTGCGCAGATGCTGAAGAGCAGAATCTTTGAACCGTTGCGGACAGTCGCAGCACTCACTAGCCTGAAGGGCCGCACGCGCCGGGTATGCTGGCGTTTAACTGAAGACCAGCGCAAGGATTCCCAACTAAGAATCACATTCTTCGAAACGGATAGTTGTGTGTTCGATGCTCTAGTCATATAGCGCCATCTCACAGCTCGGCGGCTCCGGTTTAGTGTGCTAGGTTCTGAGGCCAACGCAGCCTATGCAGCAAATGTGGCCGAAGGCTCGATTGGTTGAAGCGCCCGAAAAAATTCTCGGATGGAAGGCATGTGAACTCTGGAGCGTCGCTGTGTTGCACCCGACCTGACTTTTTGCAAGCGCTACTTTGGCACGAGCAGCTCAGGAGTCAGGACCTGTTTTTTTTGCAAATGGACTTGGTATGATGTGTTTCGGATAACAGCAATTGGTCCTAGCAAGGTCCTGCCGACGCCAAGAGCCTTTTGCACTGTGCCCGGCTTAACTTCTTTATAGAGCGCTGGTAAGCCGGTTGTTTGTAAGTCCTTGTTTTCATGGGTCCTCCTACCGCAAGCGAGATGTTGAGATTGTTCATCATGCTATGGAGAGGGAAAAGTGTCGCAGCATATCGCGGCTCATTTAGGGGACGGCAGGGGCACCCTGGAAGAGCAACCTTCCCATTCCTCGCCAAAATCTATGTTCATCTGAAGCACCAAAGGATGTGCTATTGGTTTTGCATTTGAGCTGTCAATATCAACTGGATCATGCTACTCGCACAATCTCACACCGCGCCAGTTGATGTCCTGAGCCTCTTCGTAATGCAAGGGCTTTGAATGCCCTTGGGCCGGAGTTTTGTTGTGGCCCGTTATGCTACCAGGTCTAACCTCTGTGGCGTTTGGAGTTTCCAGCCCAGATGGAGGCCAGGCCTTGTGGCTGGGCTCACGTACTGAAAGTCAAGTCTAGATGGTGACATGAGCAAAGTTCAGTTAGAATAGCAGGGTCTCTCATCCTATAGCCCGCTGCAGCTGGCAAATTGTACTTGAGGTTGGTGCTTTCAGGTCTCCGGTTCCTGTGAGAAGAAGTTGGTTCCTTTTGCTTCCGAACAAGGCCACCAACCCTGCACGCTCCCTGTCAATTTCGGCTGAGCAAGCCGGACCGCAGTTACACGCCCAAAACCAGGCACAACCCTACAACACAGCTTCACGTTTCTGCAGACCAAGCAGGGAATCCAGCGCAACATTGGCGTGTTGTGCAGCTTTCCTGGTCGGCAGCCCAGAAGCTCAGAGCTCGGGCAGCGTAAGGAGGCGCTTGAAGAATGCTTGCGTCGTCGCTCACGTTGCTTCAGGCTAGGCGTAGACAGCTGCAATAATCCTGCACTCTCCGCAGAGCATTGCACCATGTATCCAGACGCGGCGTAGCCAAAACTTACACTTGGGTATGTGTGTCAGTGCAGGCTGACGATCAGCACTTTGCTTCTCCCAAACGCAGGGTGAGGGGTTGTGGCGAGACCTGTCACTCATTTTCTCATTGTGCATGCACATTTGTATTGGTCCGTTCAGGAACCACGTTCCGAAAGTCCAGCTCAAGCCAGGCTCTCGGCTACGGTTTGACAACTGCAACTTTGCAAGTGGGTAGACCAATGATCAAGTACGACGCTGAGATGTGTAATTGCCCGGAGCTTCTGCAGTGCACCAAAAACCAGCCTTCTGCCACGTTTGGTTGTTAGGGTGGCGGAGAGGGGCGACTGAGTTTGGGATGTAGCTTGAGCCCTGAGCCGCGGGATTCATGACGGTTGCATCTGGCTGTTCCTCCTTGCAGTCAAGCCGAGACAAGCCCTGTGGTACTCGGCCGCTCACCTCAATCTGATGAAGTGGCTGAGGCTCAGCGCGTCCAAAGCTGAAGTGCTGAGAGTTGCTCAGCGGCTCCGCCCTCAGGAGGCTATGCAGAACTGCTCTTGTAGATATATACGGGTGGCCAGAGGTGCCGGCAATAGTGCAGCTCACAGCTGGTACTGGCTGCATTTATAGAATCAGGAGGTCCGAGGAGGTTTTGAAAGCTCTGGCTAGCTTGCAAGATCAGAAGCAGTACAAGTAGATGATCAAAAGGGTTAAGGGCCCTTTGCATCGGTAGTGAGGAGTGTCCCGCGGGTATGGACATAGAAACATACGGCGTGCTACTCGCAAGCTCCTAGCAGCACGCTCACTTTTTCTTCTTTTGTTGTCATAGTCGTCGTATGGGTTCTCATGTCGTCGTCTGTCTATGTCTATGTCTTTGTCGATCTATGTCTACGTCGTCGTCGTCGGCGTCGTCGTCGTCGGCGTCGTCGGCGTCGGCGTCGTCGCCGTCGTGGTGTTGGTGGTGATGGCGTCGTCGTGGTCGTCGTCGTGGTAGTCATGATCGTGGGCGTTGTTGTGGTGGTTGTTGTTGTCGTGGATGATGTGGTGGTCGTGGATGATGTGGTGCTGGTCGTGGTGGTGATGATGGTGGTTGCTGCTGCTGCTGTTGTTGTCGTTGTTGTTGCGGTGCTGGTGCTGGTGCCTTTGTAAAGCACGTAGCCGCCTGACACTAATCCAAATTGGGACTCTGGCAGCTTCAAAGCCCCTGTAAAGCTCGTTGATGAGGTTCGGCCGAACAGAAAATGATGTTTGTTTTTTCTTTTGAGGAGGGAAGGTTTGCAACGAAATCCTGAAGTCGTCAACACATGCTTCAAGGTCCGCAGCTTTCCGGCGACCACGGAGGCACTGGCATGGCAGGGAACGGCTGTGGCGAGAGCAGTTTGCCTCGGTCCTGTCTTAATCAGGATCCAAAGTCGATCTTTGCCCGCCGGCCGCAGAGGTTCGGGTAATTTCGGGTAACTGCCGGGCTTCCTTGCAGTCGCAGCCCATCTCGGCAGTTGTTGTGATCGTGCACAGTATTGCTGCTATTTGCTGCCACTTCAGCGCTCAGCGTTTCTGATCAAGGCGGTCCCGTTTGGCTAAGGGCATTGCGTCAATTCCGCTGCACCCCACATCTTACACATTCATGAAGTTAAGCTAGAGCGGGCTGTAGGTTTGTGTGTCAGGAGAGGTTTCTCCAAGGTGCGTTGCAAAGCCAAAGAAATCGCGAAGGAAAGATGAACGTGGAGGTACTGCGGGAGACCTGTCAGCTCGCAAGATTTGCAAGTCCAGGCTAAACTTGGTGTTGGGGCTTGCAAGGTCCGTTGGGCACTTCGGGGGTTTAACGCAAGTGTCCATGTCGCCATGGAAGCATTTGTGCTTGTGCATCCTGGCCCTCATGACATGTTCGTTGCCATTCTGGGCACGCCGGTTTTTGACAAGATGGCAGATGTGGAAAGTTTCGCTGTGGGTTCGTGAGGCCAGTCGGCCCACAAACGGCTTGGAGTCAATGGCCCCTGAAGTGAGCAAGTATCCAGCAGCGTCCAACATACAACCAGCCAAGATGCCAGCTGGTAAGGCCGACATGAGGCCAACTGATACAGTGCCCGTGGAGCCCGAAGCAGCCCCAGCTTTGGGTAAGACAGCCCGGGAGTCGCCGGACCGTGGCAAGAAGCCGAAGCCAGCCCAGGAAGCAAGGCCACCAGTTACTTTGGCTCCGCCCTGCTTCATTTACAGCGAGCGGCCCTGCCAGAATGGCGAAGGCATTGGCGGCATGTTCCGCCGCATGGAATGGCTCCTGGTGCTGTCCCAGAAGTACGGTTGTGCCTATGTCTGCAACCCCAAGGACTGGGAAACCGGCGGGCATTCCACCGGCAACGTTGGAATGCTGTTTGGATGTTCCAGAGATGGCATAGTTGGCAACTCCACCCTCATTGCCTCCACATCGGTGCTAAAGTCACAGGGAGCAACGGTTGAAACTGCAAGCCTGCACTTCGACAAGTCGGGCCCCCACTTGGTACGGATTAAGAGCGGTCAGCCGATGTTTCGTGGAAGTGCATACTCAATGAGTCCCAAGCCAGACCCACGTCGCAAAAGGCCGGCGGTGTACAAGCTTAGCTGCCCTCAGGTTCAAACAGTCACACATCAGATGTCCTACAGGTGGTTGCAAGCACAGTACTCCGCAGTCCGGCTTCAAGATGGACGGAAAACGGACTGGGGCTCAGCAACTTACCGTATTGCTTTGCAGCTCCGTCGTGGGGATCGACCAGAAGCATGCCCACTCTTCCTGTATCTGAACGCACTACGCTACGTGTTCGCAGCGATGCCGCAAATCTCACTTCAGAATTCGAAAATCTTGCTTATTGGCGAGGTGAACCCGAAAAGCAACGAATTCGAATGCTTGTCGGGGATCCAGAACCTGCAATTTCTTGCCAGCCGCCGTCTTGTAGGGAGGGGATCGAGTGGATTAAAAGCTCTTAAACGCGACTTGGACTACATTGCTACGTCCAACATCCTCATCCTGGGAGGAGGAGGCAGCTTTCCCTCGTTTGCCGCCACATTGCAGGCATTCGGCAGCACAAGCATTCAGTAAAGTTCAGGGTGTTATGTGTAGGGCACGGGGCACAGTGGGTGCGACGCCCAAAGGTCTAGAATCTCTCCGTTTACGGATTCGGGGGGTGCTTAAAGGAGTCCTTCAGTACACCTGGGTTGCTTTAGAGGCATGGATCCTGTTCCCTGATAACTGTGCCGAAGCTGATGACCACTTGGAGAGTATGAGGCAACCCAAACAACTCCATCAAATGCTCGAATTGCTCGAAAGCTCAACAGGCAAAGCGCAACTGTCTCTGGGGCTTCTAAGCAGGAAGCCTTTGGTTCTTTCCGTTTCTGCCACAAACCGCATGTTCCACATCCAGGGGCAACCTCCGGAGTAGACAGGCAGAAGGCTTTTGCAACTCTGAACATGTACAGCGTTCTAGTCAGGGCTTTAGGAACTACTCAGCTGGAGCTTCGAAGAAGTGCTTTCAAATGTGATTAGAACATAGTAGACTGAAAGCAGGCTGTTGCTACTACTTCTCTTGGCCGGCTTCTCTCATGAGGTTGCTGGTGTTGGCTTTGGGTTTGTGGATTCAGTTAAACGTTTTCGGCTGATGCAGGCTCCCGGCGGTGTCACCCTACACTCACGGACAAAGGACGCAGGCTTGGACGGCTTGCCGTACGCTTTTGAGCTGGACAAGGTTGGCCGCTTCACGTGTAAGCAACGACTGTCTACAAAAGCAGAGCAAAAGGAAGACTACAAAATTCCTGGCGACTCCTTGCTCAGCCAGCAGGTTGAGAAAGCAGTCCAGATTTATAGCAAGTGGTCCAGCGGAAGGCCTTTCTGCCAGTCCACGAAATCGCCAGGCTTCAGCCGCAAAAAGTGCGAAGCTCCAGATTTTTCAATATTGAAGCTTGAGCCCTGCAAGGAACCTGCCAAGCTGAACCTCGCTCTTTCACTAGCTCCGGCTGAGCCTGTTCCCATACCCACAGCACAGCCAGAGGCCGATAACTCCAATTCGGTACCTCAACGTACACAGGATGCCGTGCCTTCCCTGCAGCCACTGGACAAGCGTTACGTGGCCTGCTCTGCAGCGTGCAAAGGCCAATGTTTAGCCATTCCTGCTGACACCGAGAGCAAGTGCGGAAAAAGGCCCATGTGCTGTGGTCCGGCCCGCAGCTTTGCGGAAAGCACGGTCCTCCAGCACAACCATGTGGCTTTCTACTTTGTGCGATGTGCTGGTAACATCAACCATGACTTTCATCAGAACTTTTGGCCTCTGTTTTGGTGGATGACACGGCTCCGCAACGATGATGCAGCACTCCTAGTAGAGAGAAACTGCGACAGCAAGCGGCACTGGGGAGACGATCTTCTTTGGAGCGTTGCCCGCACACAAGGCTGGCGAATTTACAACTACTCGAAAGGTGTCCGCTACTGTGCCCGTGGGCAGCTCCACATAATGCGCTCTGTTGGGCCCTGTTGCGATTACAGCCTGAAGCCGAAAAGCTTCGTCCACTATGGGAAAGGCGTTATTTGGGCTGCTGTGCTTGGGCGCAGCCGGCTGGCTTTAGATGAGCACACCAAGGTGCTCATCTACAGTCGCGCAAATGCCAATTATCGCCGCATCATCGAACCAAAGCGGCTGGAACCTGTCTTTCATCCGCGACTTAACGTCACAGTAGCGGATGATGTACCACCCACGTTGCTTGAGCAGGCGCGCTTCTTTTCATCCTTTGCTGTAGTGCTGGCTCCAAATGGTGGTTGGGCTCCAAACGTGCTTTTTATGGCTTCAGATGCCTGCCTCATTGAGCTGCACCTTTACCGAAGGGATAGCTGGGCGAAGGACTACGGGCTGGGTGGTGAGATCGGTGAGATACTGCTTATCACCGGAGACTATCATGATCCAAAGAAGCCCATTCTCCACCGGAGAGGTCGGGTGGGCGGCGATGATGACATCCTGGTGACAGGTGGTAAGGACAACTTGCTAAATGACGTGAGACGCAGCATGGCAAAGAGCCATGTTTGCAAGCAATACCTTGCCACGTAGAAATGTCTGGCTTGGTGAGCTCCTACTTGCCCATAGATAGGCTTGGAGACAGTTCTCAATAAGGTGGATGACGTTAGGGCTTGAGATCTGGTCCATGGATGCATGCTGTTCCGCTCACGCTATGCCCACAAGCCCCCAACTTGTCACCAAACTCACACAGATGTTGTTCACTTTGTGCTGGGCCCGTGAGATTCCAGACGATGAGACAACAGCTTTGCAAAGTGTTCATTGTGAAAGGTGTGTCCTGCCTGAAACCATCCCTCACACAGGCCATCGGTACTGCAGCAGCACTTCACTTCACCTTTATTTGGGTCCGCAAGTACCCCGGGGCCTAGAATCAAAGGTTCTTCAAGATTGCAGGGCGCGGGCTTCAGCATCTTAGTGCAAACTGCCTACACTTTCCCAGACAGACAATGACACTGACCCATTTTGAATCAATCTGACTTTAAAAAACAAAGCTCCTCCTCTCCTCCGCGTGTACTTCCAGGCTCGCTCGGCTGGCCTGTTCCGTTTGACTGCAGCTCGAGCGCTTTGAGCGCTGGGCGGCCACCGCTTCTCATCGCCGCAAGCTCATTCAATGCCCGCTTCGGTGCTCAGCACGTAGTAACGTAGTAGACCATGTGATGGTGCTGGACGCTTGCTGGACTCCAATTTGCCACAACTGAAGAGCTGCCAGCTTCACTCGCGCGAGTCAAGGTTTTACAAATGTCTTCGCCATACCCTGCCAGAATGGACCTCAGAAAAGTGCTGAAGGACTGAAGGGCTGCAGAGTCCCTTCTGCTTTCTTCCAGTGGGAGCGTCACGGAGGGATGTGAGCGAGCCCAACAAGCCGCCTGGTACCTACAGAGCATGAAAGGGTGAAGAGACCAAAGATAGCAGTGAATAGTAGTTAGTTGCAGTCCCCTGCCTGGCATCAAGGACCTAGATTATTTTTTTAAAGCAACAGATGCAGCAGAGCCAGCAGAAGCAGCTTCTTCTAAAAAAACAGTTTTTGACTCGGTAGCCGCTGACAGGAGTGACTGGAGCGATGTTAGCACTGTTTAGCAATCAGCAATGGTCGACGAACTGCTGACTGCAGTTCGCTGCTATTCTGCTACAAGCTCACCCTTGCAGTGCGAGTTTGTCCACAGCAAGAAGGGCAAAAGGTGCTGGCTCACAGCTGCCGCAGGTTGCGCCAGGTGCAAGACGCATCTGAATGTTGCCGATGGAGATCGTGTGAAGTGTCCCCTTGATCCATCACATACAGTGGAGCGCAGCCACCTGGAACGACATTTGACTACGGCCTGCCCAAGCCTGAGAGACGCGCAGTTTCTCGGAGCTCAGCCATTCTTCCGTGCGGGGATCAACCGTGCGCCGCAGACCGGCTTTATTTCAAGGGATGCCGGTTCAATGAACCGGGACGCATGGATTGCCAGAATCGAAGCAGTGTTTCCAAAGGCCGTTTGCCAGGCTTTGGGCTGGGATCCATCGAGGGCAAATGTTGAGACCATAGTGCAGCAGTCGCTGAGTGAGGCAGCTGCTGGGGAGCTTGGGCATTCTGACAAGCATGGCCTGCAGAATCAGTCTTTGTGCCAACTAGCCTCCGATGCTTGCCGGCAGATTGATTTTTGCCACCACTGTACATGGCCTTCATTGCCTGTACCCTCACATTCGAACGAAAGCTTCTGACTGCTAGGAAGTGTGCGGGGCGAGGCTTGCAGAGGCCGTCATGGTGGAATACGGCTGCGGACGAGGGGCTCTATCCTTGTCGCTGCTGCAAGCTCATCCACAGGCCCAGTAGGGCAGCAAATCTTGGAGGTGTTCGTGTTCACATGGTTTGGCAGAGGTTGCCACTGCCTGCATTTTCAGGATCAGCGATGTCACTTGCTTGGATGATGATCCTTATGACGGCACCTGTCAGGAGCACCCTGCGGGTTCTATGAAGGAATTCAATAAAAACCAAATAAGCCTGCCCCGATGTGCAGGCCTTGAGCGTGCTTGTGGATCGGGACACGCGCCGCCACCGCGTGGAGCAGCGTCGGGATGAGGGCCACGAGGCTGTCCAAAAATTTCGTCGGGTTTGGTGTAAGCTTTGCAGGCAGACTTTTAGGCCGGGCCGGAGTGGTGGAGAATGCTGGAGATCGTTCGATTTTGCTTGGAGATCTTTGGGTGCTGATAAGCAGTTCACGCTTCAGTCCTGAACCGTCGCCCGGAGCACCTGTCTCAAGCGGTCGTCATGCTTGTGGTGATAGACCTTGAGTTCTCAGAAGGACAGCCAAAAGTTCATGAAAAGTGTAGGGAAACGTGATCAAACGTACAATTAGCAGCGACCGTTGTAGTGCACGACTGCTTGCTAGAAAAAGCATGGAGGCGAGGGTCTCCGTCCAGCTTCGTGCTTTGAGCTCACGAATGTATTGAACCCTTAGCATAGGGTGGAAGGGACAGCAAGTTGCAACTGGCAAAAGTTCGAATTATTTCTGGTGAAGAAAAGCTCAGCTTTCACCATACTCTAAACCCGGCACCTGAGCCAAAAAGTCCAAGCAACTACTGCATGACTCAGGGATGCTCATGGTGTTTGCTGGGGGCCCCATCGTCCTTGTTTTCTGGGTGCGGACTTTAAAAACAGGTGCTGCGACTTCGGATGGACATTGCTGACTTCGACTTGGGAGCCCTGCTGTGGGAGGAGGACGCCTAGAAATATCTCGCACTGGGTGTATTTGCTAGCCTGTTTGGGGTTGGGAGCTCTACTCTGGAGTAGGCTAGGATTCCTATGGGAGTTACCAAATATGCGAGGGGTGTTTGGAACTGTTGCGAGTTTGTGTAGAACTTTAGGGTCCCCTTCATTCTTATGAGTGCCATGTCTTTTTTTAAGAAACCTGTGCGGTCCATTTTCGGGTGGGTGGGACTTGCAGGTCCTGAACGCAGATGCAATCCGGTCAGATGCCTTCGCTCGCTGCGCACGCAGTGCACTGCGCTCACGGCATTTGCATGGCGTTGCCAACAGGCTGAGGAACAGGCTTTCAAAAAGTAAACGCATGCATGTGTGGTCCGGACTTGCAAGCTCTCCTGTGTTCTGCAGGGCGCCGCCCTTTCCTCCCAGAGGTGGCCTGCTGGTCTGCGCCAAGTGCCTTGTCTTAACCATTACCAAGCTCCAGTGGAAGTCAGGCTGCAGTCCTGCCCTTATGCTTGCGAATAGAGATTATGGCGCTCTCGACTCTGGACAAGGTTGATCGGCACGAGAATGTCCTAGGCTCTTTGAACAGCCCCTGTCCGTCCAGTCCGTGTAGGGATCACGTAAGAGAGCATGTGTAGGGACTGCGTGGGGATTATGTTGAAACAATGTGCCACTACCTGTCCCTACATACATGCCTGAATACATTACATCCTTGAGCCCAGGCACCTTTGTGGCAGTGGCACGGACCTTGCACTTCGGTCCCTGCACGGCACGATGCACAAGCCCATCGAGGCTGCTCCCCGTCATTGATCACGCTTTTGCTTGTGCTTGTGTCTCTCCGTCATCATCGTCATCACCACCACGAGTGTCATCGTCAGACTGCTGATGCTGCCGCAGAGTTTGCATTCCGTCACAGAGACTTCACCCTCGGATGCTGATGCATTGGTGAGGTGTTTGCAAGCAGTGTTGTGTGTGCAAGAGTGGCTCGAAATGGCAAGACGTCATGGAGTTCTGCGCATGGGTAGCATTACAGCGCGCAGGATGTTTAGACAACTATTTGTAGAGGAAATGGACTTCGTAAATGGCATGTAGGCTAGCAAGCTTGCTGCTTCAAGCTAGCTTCAGTTTTTGCGTGCACCCGGGCTCGCCCATTTATACTGGTTCGCTGGAGCAACAAGTTGTGAGTTTCTCTTATTCTTGAATCCCAGGAAGGCAGCCACAGCTAACATGTCAATGCGCTGTTCTGGTTTCAGGTCGGCTTGTGCTGCGCAACTTGCTGCCACCATCGTTGCGAATTTCGCCTGCAAGCAGTAGCCTTTGACACCACTGCAGCTGTTAAACTTGAGTTGCTAGCACCATCTCAACACTGGCATGCGTGGTGGGTTTTGCAGCGCAGTCTACACTGGCCTTGCCGCATAGGATTTAGACAGCTACGTGAATCCCGGCTTCCTGTCCAGTTTGGGGCGGCTCGGCTTGCGCTTAAACTGTGCCAGGCTCATAGCAGCCACAAATGTCGAACGAACAAAGATAATTTTTGGACCACGTGGCGAGGCTTACGAACCAGCCACAGGACTTTGCAGAGTTCGTATCAGCAGCTGGCTGGGCAGTGGGAGCAGCAGATGCTCGCTTACGGCGCGCGGGCGTTATGGCCAAGCGGATCTTGGACTACGGCCGAGTTGCATGGCTCAGTATCCTGGGTGCAGATGAAATAGATCATCCCACTCGCAGTTCAAGGTTTGTGGACGACTTCTTCCAGAAATTAAATTGAAATTCGCCATTCAGAAGTGCAGGCAAAAGCTGCCAAAGCTGGAGGGCCGCCATTGGGCTTCTGTGCCTAACCTCTACCCTCCCCAAACGTGGAACCTGCAAACAGCTGCAGCTGGTAGGCTACCGTCCTACTAAAAGTTGTATACATGGGTTTCATGTTTTATAATTTGATAACTTCATCCTCAGCCCGATATCCGCGGCAGACGGCAACCCCAGCATTATCAGTCAGTGTTATTCCTCCACAAAGCAGACGTAGTTTGGGTACCCCCGACAGAGTACAACATGTAATTGTGGTAGGTTCATGAGTCAAAAGCTGTTGGGATTTGTTTACCTCGGGCTACACACATTCTTTGCTAGTGGAAAGCCATTGATCATCAGAAGAGATTACTTGCAGCCTGGTTGTTGATCGATTTTCTCTGACCTGCTTTGTCCGGCTTGTGCCAAGTTTGCACCAAAAAACGGGCGAGCAGCACCAATTTAGCAAAACTATGTTGGTTCAGTAGCTCTCGAGCTCGCTCACCGGAGCTTTAAGATTGAGGCAGATTCATATACGTGCGCTAGGTCGCGCGGCAGCGCATGTTTTTGTTTGGGGGTCAACAGTTACCGCATTTCTGGACTTTAAGCTCTGCCGCCTTGGGAACCAGGACACAGGAAAATCCTGCAGTGTCTGAAGGAATGGTAGTATACATTCAGCATACAACAGCACGTTGAAACATGGAACTCCCGCATTTCAGAAGATGTTGCTTTGGCTAAGGAAAGGAACTGGGCTTTGCAGATGCCCAGGTTGTCTCCTACGTGTCGAAAGAAGTGACGCCAGAAAATGTGGCCATTGTTTTCAGCGGAATGTCAGCAGCGCCTTGCTGCGGACAGAAGAAAAGTCATTTACCACAGCACTGCATAATGCCCTCACACCTTGGTAGATGCACAAGCATCGTCAAAGCAAAGCATCATGAGCAATAGCTTTCTTGGGCAGGATGGGTTATGTAAACTTAATCAACCCTGGCCGCGTCGCTGTTGCACCAACTCTTCTGCCCAACTCCAACGATTCAAAGCATCTTCCAGAAGAGTCTGAAGAAGCTTCATCGCAGGATCTCTGGACCTGCGCCACGTTACTGGCAGCGCTGGGCCCTTCCCGGGCGACGGCAGAGGTGCAACGCTGCTTGCTGAGAAAGACCTAAGTACTTGCAGTGTTGGGTGCCATCCCATGCCAATTGCAAGCGGAAACGCCCAACATCAACGTTTTCGTGGAAGAGGTTGCCACCAGAACTGAAAAATCCATGAAATAAGGAAAGCTGAGCTTGTGTCTTTCAACTGAAGCTTTTCTTTCATGGCAGCCTGGCCCAAGCTCCGCGTCCTCAGAACTACCGGCAACATCCTGCACCGGTCTGACCCATGGAGAAGGCAGCAGCTGCCTTTGCGATGGAGACGCCCAAGGAGCGATGGGGGATCGTGGAATGGTGCCTGTCTACAGGGCTTCGTAGGGTAGGTGGCTTGAACTGGATTCAGCCAGCTCAAATTCAAGCACAAAGCGCGGCAGTCCTTCGGGCATTTCTCGACTGGACTACTGTAGAAGGTACATGCGCTGAGGTGTGGAATAGCATGGCATGGTGCGGTCAGGGACTGCAAGTTTTGGAGGCTCACATTAGGTTTCAAGTCACTTGTAGGTGAGACTCAGCTTTGCAATGCTCCAAGTGACCAAAGCCTAATTGACACAGTCTGGAAGCTGCAGAGGAGCTCGAGAAAGGCCTGACCTTGGAATACTTGGCACTACCTTCTCCAATCTCTGGTCGCGGCGGAGTTGTGCGCTTCTTTCTTTTGGCCAACAAGGCCAGGATAAACACAAGAAAAAAAGTGAAGGAGTCATGGATTACTGGGCAGGCATCATATTTGTTGGCCAGGTGGTCTTCACGGAGAAGTTGCACTCACTGGCTGACTGGGGAGGCAGTGTCAAGGCCAAGTACGTGGCAGAGGGAATCTCCCCAGCGGGGCACCTTCCACTCCTTTGGGTGGGCGACGGTCCGGCTTGTTCGGAACACATCAGCTTGATGAGGTGCCGGGCGGGGTGGTCAAGGAGTCAAGGGTCATTATCCGTGGTACGAAGTCTGCTGATGTCAAGTGTATCTCGGCAAAGCGTGGAAGAAAGTTTAATTATTTCCTTGCTCTCAGCACTTCTCTCTGATGCCAGGTTGGTTGCCAACCTTACGCAGCTGAAGACAGCAAAGGATGCTGATTGCTGGAGCCTCTACGCTCAGGATTGCCGGGCAAGGGAACTGAGGAAGATTGAGAGGGACTTGTTAGAGAGCTTTCGGCTGCAGAATTAGGGCTAAGCTGAATAATTTGAGTGTTAAAGAATTAAAGATGTATGCCGGGTTTCTAGGAAAGCTTCGCTCCAGTTTCCTGGCTTGGGTCAAACTTGGAGCCCAGTTGTCAAGCAGACGTTTTAGTGTGGGCCTGAACCCGGCGCATGCTGCACTCCTCCCTAAAGGCACCATGAACTCAAAGCCCTACACTCCCGGCGCATGCATTGAGACACAAGATCTCCAGGACATGGTCGCCGATGCCTATGCAGAGTGGCGCGGCGACTGGGCCTCTGCAACCTTTGGAGGAGATGATGCAGCCAAGGACACGTACAAGGCTCCAACGTCTTTATGATTGAGCTTTTCGCTAGTACTTCACTTAACATCATGCATGCTTCAAACATCTGAGCTTCCAGCTTTCGTCGGCCTGCTATACTTCAACCTTCTCCTTCGTGCTTGTGGAGGGCCTATGACATTTTGCATGCACTTGGATTTAGAAATGGCAAGGCCACCATCCCCGGCCGCTTGAAGCAGTTCGAGGGTGTGATCGCCAAGGCTGGCCTCAAGGGGGCCTTTATCTCCGGAGACCTTCCGCTGTGGGGCGACAGCGCCCTTTTCAGCCTCATCTCAGACAACATCGCGACGGGCTACACTGGAGTAGATGCCGTCAAGGATGCAAGCTGGTAACAAAAAGCTGTTATGAATCACCTGAGAGGTTTGGCTTTTCCTAATAACTTGTTGCAGTTTGCTCTGACAGATGCTGTTCGAGGAGTTCCCCCTCCTGCACCAGATCTGCACGGCTTACGCGGGCATTGAGGCAGTTGCGGGGTGGTACGGAGATTCCTCGCCCTGGAAGTGAGGCATCTAGGGCCTAGGCCCCCCCCTATCCTTCATTCCTTATTCGTATGCACTTGCACAGGCTCTCGCATAGAATGCGGAGAGACATGAAAAGCGAGTGAACATCTCCCTGCGGAAGAGGAGGGCGGCATGTCTAAACAGACAAACTGACATGACTTTCGCTCCTCCCCCCGCGGCTTTGCTGGTAGTTCCTGATTTGCACTTGGCTTCGCCTGGTCAGAAAGGGAAAAAGAAAGTGGCACGCAAGAAGCCAGAAAGATTGTAGCGAAGGCAGCTTCAAAGATGAAGCAAAGGCAAACAGTAGGAAGGAACTCGTTGAGAGAGCCATGATGGTAATGCTGATGGTGATCATGATGATGATGATGATGATGAGTGTTAATGTTTTGGGACAAGGTTGTGGCTGACATCACAACAACATTCATAGACCCATGGCATCCTGGTTTTTGCAACACATATGTCTTCGCAAATGGTTTTGCATAGCAGAGGTGGCTAATGTCGCTTCAGTGCTCTTCGGATAGGCTGCAGTGATGGGGTTTGAGGCGGGTTGGTGTTTTCAGATCACTTTTTCCCAGGTCTGTGTTGGATAGACAGAAGGAAACCCGACAGCAGCCTGTCTCGGTGACAAGGCACGGCGGCTGATTGCACGGCAGAAGTCCCCCTGGACAGAATTGGCGCGTTTTGAAGGCCGGTGCGTGGGTCAAAATGCAAGGTTAAGCATGCCTACAGCAACGCAAAGAGGTTCACTAGCAACTGAGAGGGAGTTGGCTATTGCAACAAAAACGAGGTCAACCAAGAGTCAGGGCAGCCTTTGCCAAATTACATCTGGCCAAGACTAGGAGGTTCCGCTCTGATCCTCGTAGCAGGTTGTTGTAGAGCCCGATCTCCGATTGCACGCGCAGGGTAATCCACGGTAGCATGCCTGCAACGTTTCATCTCATCTGAGTAGTACTTTATTTTGGGATACTATGGTACCCATTATAGTGTAAGGTTATATCCTCCTTTTGGGGTATAGTGCTTTATATGAGGAATATTATCTTACTAGGTTCAACCACCAAAAAAACACTACTCATCTGAGCTTGAGTCCGTGGTCGGGCATGCTGACAGCGAAGGAGAAGAATCTACCTGGACGAGCGGTGGTAGGCGTTGCACCTGTACGTGTCAAGCTGTTCCTTGACATGGAGGCTGTCAGCTGCATTTGACAGTGACTTGAAGCTCAGGCGCGCAACTGGGTGGTCACTACTGTGGCATAGTTGGCAACTAAGCAAATGCATGGATGTGAAGCTTGATCAGACATGTTTGCACAAGCCGTTCGGTTTGGTGTCGGCGTCAGCTAAAGCCTGGATTCAAGAGAACTTGCTGCATTAGTCTCTTTTGCTTCTGAACCCAAGTTTGCTTCAGTTCCTGGGAATCCATGCTCACAGAAAGCGTGGCATTTGTTGGAATAGGCTTACAGGCCTCGAGAGGGCTTACGATCATTCGCTGTAGCGCGAGACCTCGAGAACAAGTCGCACGCGAACTTTTCTGCCTGTGAAGTCCAGGTCAGGAACCCTCGCTGATGGGCCCAGAGCTGCGAGCTCCTTAGTTTGGTTCATCAGGCTGAAGGAAACGCAAGTGGTTGTGGAAGTAGTCTGATTACTTGTCTTTCTGCACTCTCTACAAGAAAGATCCGAGAATGAGCCAATCAAGATGGCACGATTGCTTCCTGGCACCTCTCTCTACATCATTCACCTGGTGCAAGTTTTGATAACGCGGAGCACGTACTACAAGCATATGTATAGAAAGGCAAACGCTCCCCCGGGCCGGACATGTCTAGAATCATTTGAAGAAGTTGGTCCTCAGAATGTCATCCGACAGGCCACGCTGAATCAACCAATTGTTTTGCAAAAGTAGCAGTTTGCTGCCAACAGTCCCGGCTTCAAGCGGTAAGCCCAGGTACTGCCAAAGGCAGGACACCCTTCAGCCAGCATTGACTTTGCAGCTACTTGGCCACATGTTGGATCCAAACGAACAAGTCTCGGAACTCGTTGGCAGAAACTCGCCAGCTTGCAACTGCAGACAATAATGCTGTCCTCTTCAACCCTGTCCTGGACCACAGTCAGAAGATGGAGGTTGCTTATGCAATGTAACCTGGAAGCGCGGGTATTGAGTTCTTTTAAGCGGGGGGGCCGGGGGGGTAAATGCACTGTTGAAAGATGTGGATGGAAGCAGGGATGGCTACAAATGATTGATGCTGCTGCGCCTCGAACTGCCACGCTGTAATGAGCAATGTCCAATGTGAAGATTCTGGTGTTCACGTGAACACTGCGCATCATGCAATGCTGAGCCGAGTTTTCTGCAGACGCCTTGCGGACAGATCGGGCCTCAGATACCTGAAAGTGGGATTGACGAATAATGCATTTGCTTTGTACGCTGAGCCGGCCGTGCTTGCCGAGCCCTTGAAGAGCTCCACCCTTGTCATATGTCTGATGTTCTCCCGAGGTGTTGTGTAGGCTCCGACACGGCGGCGAAACAAGTTGCTACAGGCCTTGCTGCTCTTCTAAAGCATAGGACCCGCAAGGCTCAGAAAAAGAAGACACGGCACGCCAGAAGCTGACCAACTGAAGCGAACTGCGAGCGAGATTGTTTATCTGCGCTTGCGGAGGCCATGCTGGACAAGAGCTCATGCTCGAGGAGGGTCAGCACCTGGGTGCATGTTGCAAAGAAACAGAATGCCGTAAGGGGTTTCGGACTAGCAACACACTAGCGGCGCTTGAGGATCGGATATTGCCGATGATATTGCCGCAAGGTTCAACATGCTTGTAAATAAATCAACTCGGGACTTGTCCTAGAGCTATTTATGGCTGACGGCTACAATCCTATCTCAGCTTTGCTCCTCTGCAGGAACCGTGGCGATGTGGCAAGGCGCGACAAGCCGCAAGTTGGACAGGTTGCGTGTCTTTCAAAACGTGCGACACGGTTCCAGAGCAGAAGAGAGTGCTCGCCGAAACAAGTGAGCTTGCGGTTGGGGTTGGCTGAGATTGAAGCGTCACTCTGGCCAAATTGCCATGCACACTTGAGAAATGTCCCGCGGTACAGATGGCATTTGCAACAACTCGAAGAGCACGCCTCCTGCCTTGTCCTGCAGCGCCCGCTTTGGGTTTTTGAGCGCAGTGGAAAATGTCGCCTTTGCTACCTTCATTCTAATCAACCCCGCAGTGCGAATTTCAAGCGTGGGATGTATGAAGAAGAACGGGTGGAATGTCGGGCTGTGCGGAGAGGAACACAGTGCGAGGACTAGGTGACTAGGAGTGAGAAGAGAAGCGAGCAAAGGCTTCAGGCTTTTAATGCCATCTTGTATTGTAACAGCCAGGAGGGGCCTGGTTGCGAAGCTGGATTTCGGCGGCTGTTGTGCCCTGGCAGGGACGGGTGTTGAGCTTGTTGTGAAGCCTTTGCTATTTAAGCAGAGGTTCCTTCCAGCCAGCAAGCGCACGCTGCAAGGTCTTGCCAGGACATCCGCGAGGAGGAGACTGAAGAGACAGTAGTGTTAGGATCTCCTGAACTGTTCAAGGATGTCCACGATAAGCAGATACCAGAGAACTGGAGCTTCCAGGCGACCTGTGAGGCAAACAGGTTCAACATGTTTAGAGGGCTCTGTGGCCCCCAATAGGCCAGGCTAATGGAGATAATTTGACGCGCATTTTATCATTGGTCATCGAAGATATAGAAGGATTGACATCGGATTCGGCTGGGGCGGCTTCTGCTTCAAAGCATCAGCTGCCAAGTAGTGAGATCTAGCCTAAATCTCAAATAACCGAGACAGCATACTGTAGTTGTGCGTGTTGATCCTTTAACCCGGAAGACCCTGTGAGGGTTGGCTGGAAGGGATGTAGGCAGTGGCCTTTCATCATAAGGTTGTCTTGGTCACGTGGAGGACATGGGCAGCGTGGACTGGCTGGGCCTTCGCGAGCAGATGCGGCGAGCTTTGGCTGAAGCCTTGGAGTGTCAAAATGTGGGATGCCTTTTCGGGGGGCCCGTCATGCAGAGCTTACATATGGGATCATATGGGTACATAGCCCTTGCCCTGCTTGCTGCAGTACTTGGAGGATCTGCTCATTCGGTAATAAAGTAGAAACTCAGTTCCATGCTAAAAGCTCCGAGACAGGAATTCCCACTGAACTATACTCACGCTCGCAAGCTGGCCCCCCGTGAAGTCCGAGCTCAGCTTGAGGTTTACGCGCGGGAAGGCCTTGTCGACGGTTTCCGTGATGGACTGCATGGGCCCATGCCCGAGCAGATGTCCATGATGGGTCAAGTCGTGTTACTGTCATGGTGCAGACCCTGATCAGACATGGCTTGCTATCCCGAATGTCTTACATGATGAATCATCACTTTGAGATAGCTCAGGGTTCAAAGCCTTGCAAAGTCAAATGTCCAGGAGTCCGGGCTTGCCGCTTTATACTGTAGGAATGATCTTCTCAGTCGATGTGTGAGTTTAGACTGTAGCATCATTTGTCATGTTCACCCTGAGTGCACTCACCTGTAACCGGCGCACTGCAGAGGGGGCTTTGCGCGCGCATGCCGGCAGCCAGAGAGAGAGAGAGAGAGAGAGAGGCCACACAAGGAGCAGCTCAGGTCTGCACAGGGTGGGCCCAAGCTCCCCACAACTGGCATCGTGCAGTCCATGTTGTGATAGTCTTGAGCAGTGTTTGCATGTTTTCCTTTGGGTAAAATGCGGCAACGATCCACCAAACAGGGGGTTCTGCCCTCGGTGTGGAGAGCTCAGTGAGGTGCAGCAGATTTTTTCCAGGCCTTTCCAAGATGTTGTGCATGTCATGTGTGCGTGCGGTACTTACCTGTGTGTGCTGTTAGGGAGGTCTTCGGAGGGGTGTATGTGTCACAGCTCCGTGGAGTAGGAGACGTGTTGAAACCCGTGTCGGTTCACCTTCTGGTTTGGCGGGCACGATTAAGTTTATCCTGGTATGGTTATTTTGGTCCGCGGGGTATGGGGTATCGACCGGGGAT